TTCTTTTGCGGGAGACTACAGGCCTGGACACAGTAGTTCAGATGGGGCCTCATGAGGGCAGAGCAGGGGGGAATCACCTCCCTCTCCCTGATGGCCACTCCTCTTTTGATGGGAGAAGTTTTGATGGTCAAAGGCCTTGCACAAGTCCAGGTAGATGATATCAGTTGCCCTTGCTTGGTCCACTGGTACCATCACTCCATGATAGAAGGCCACCAGAATAATAAGGCATGATGTACTGTTGCCGAAGTCATGCTGGCTGTCTTGGATCACCTCCTCATCTCACGTGTGCCTTAGCATAGTTTCCAGGAGGATCTGCTCCTTGACCTTTCCAGGCACAGAGGTGAGGCTCACTGGACTGTAGTTCCCCAGGTCTTCCTTTCTCCCTTACATAAAAATGGGAGTGCTGATTCCCTTTTTCCAGTCCCTGAGGACTTCACCTGACAACTGTAAGTTTCAAACATGACAGAGAGGGGCTCAGAAATCTCCTGCAGGACACTGGGATGCATACCATCCAGCCCCGTGGACTTGTACACGTGCATTCTCATGAATGCGTGCTCCAATCTTACACTTAGAAAGATTTTGATGCTCTGAGCCCTCCTTGGAAGTTCACGGACACAAGAGACTTGGGAAACCTGATTGGCAGTGAAGATAGGGGCAAAGAATTCATTGATTACTCAGCCTTCTCCACAGTTGAGGAGGCTAGATTTTCCTTTTCATTTATTAGAGGGGGTACGCTCTTCTTTGACTGCATCTTTTACCAATGTACATAAATAAATCCTTCCTGTTTTTTACAACCCTTGCCAAGCTTAACTCCATCCACACCTTGGCTTTCCTGATCCCATTCCTGCACATCCTGAAAGCATCCCTGGATTCCTTCCAGGCCATCCATTCCCATTTCCACTGCTTCAACAGATCCTTGTTCAGCCATGCTGGTTTTCTGCCTCCTCTGATTTCTTATGCTGGCAGACGGAGAGCTCTTGTGCTCTCAGAAACATGAAACAGTGCGTACTGCCAGCTTTGTTCCTTTCCTTTGTCCCTAAAGACAGTTTCCCAGGAGATCACTTCCAACAATTGACGTTTGTAGATGCTTGCTGAATGTTTATGGGGACCCATAAACATTCCACTGATTGGAAAAGGGAAAGAATAACCTCATTTTCAAGGAAGAAAAAAAAAAAAAAAAAAAAAAGAAGATCCAGGGAACTACTGCCCAGTCAGTCTCTCCTCTGTGTCTGGCAAGACCATGGAGCAGATCCTCCTGAAGGCTCTGCTAAGGCACTTGGAAAATAAAGGTGAGGTGATTGGTGATAACCAACACAACTTCACCATGGGCAAGTCATGCTGACAAACTCGGTAGTCTTTTATGATAGAGTTACAGCATCAGTGAGTAAAGGCAGATCAACTGATGTCATCTATCTGGACTTCTGCAAAGCACTGACACTGTCCTGCATGACATCCTGCTTGCCAAACTGGAGAAAAATGGATTTGATGGATGGACCACTTGCTGGGCAAGGAATTGGTTGGATGGTCACTCTTGGAGTTGTGATCAACAGTTCAACGTCCAAATGGAGATCGGTGACGAGTGGCTTTCCTCAGGGACTGGTGTTGGGATCTGTGTTATTTAACATCTTTGTAGGCGACATGGACATTGGGATCAAGTGCGCTGTCAGAAAGTTTGCAAACAACATCAAGCTGACTGGTGCAGTTGACATGCTAGAGGGAACAGATGACATCCAGAGGGACCTGGACAGGCTTGAGAGGTGGGTCCATGCCAACCTCATGAAGTTCAACAAGGCCAACTGCAAGGTCCTGCATTTGGACTGGGGCAATCCCAGGCACAGACAGGTTGAGTGGAGAATGGCTTGAGAGCAGCCCTGAGGAGAAGGATTTGGGAATGTCGGTTGATGAAAGACTCAACAAGAGCTGGCAGTGTGCACTTGCAGCCCAGAAGGCCAACTGCATCCTGGGTTGCATCAAGAGAAGTGTGACCAGCAGGTTGAGGGAGGTGATTTTATCCCTCTGCTCTCGTGAGACCCCACCTGGAATACTGCAACCAGTTCTGGGGCCCCCATCACAAGGACATGGAGTTGTTGGAACAGATTCTGGGGAGGGCCACAAAGATGATCAGAGGGCTGGAGCATCTCCCCTATGAAGACAGGCTGAGAGAGCTGGGGTTCAGCCTAGAGATAAGAAGGCTCCAAGGAGACCTGATAGCTGCCTTCTAGTACCTGAAGAGAGCCTACAGGAAAGCTAGGGAGGTATGGGGGATGGAGAGGTTGGTTTGACCTCTTTGAATGCCAACTTTCTGGGAAAGAGAAAGAGGATGTTTTGCAGCTAAGCATAAAATAAACTCAATGCTGTTATGAAGATTTGTTACAAAACTTGCTTGCTTTCTAGCCACTGGATTGTTAGTGGAAATGTACTGAATACACTTTGGAATATAAAAAGCTTGCTTGGGAAAATAAAGTGGAATCTTTTGCACGAGAACGCTGTGTTGTGTTGCTAGCCTGCAACAAGGAGGGACTTTTTATAAGGGCACGTAGCAACAGGATGAGGGGAAACGGTTTTAATCACAGAATTGTAGGGGTTGGAAGGGACCTCCAGAGATCATCGAGTCCAACCCCCCTGCCAAAGCAGGTTCCCTACACCAGGTCGCACAGGTAGGCATCCAGGCAGGTCTTGAACATCTCCAGAGAAGGAGACTCCACCACCTCCCTGGGCAGCCTGTTCCAGTGCTCCGTCACCTCACTGTAAAGAAGTTCTTGCGCACATTTGTGCGGAACTTCCTATGCTGCAGTTCCAGCCGTTTCCCCTTGTCCTGTCTCCACTCACCACTGAAAAGAGTCCGGCCTCGCCATTCTGCCCCCCACACCTCAGATATTTATAGACCTGGATCAGGTTCCCTCTCAGTCTTCTTTTCTTAAGGCTGAACAGACCCAGTTCACTCAGCCTTTCTTCATAGGAGAGATGCTCCAGGCCCTTCACCATCTTTGTGGCCCTCCGCTGGACTCTTTCCAAGAGATCCCTGTCTTTTTTGTACTGGGGAGCCCAGAACTGGACGCAGTGCTCCAGATGAGGCCTTACCAGGGCAGAGTAGAGGGGGAGGATCACCTCCTTTGACCTGCTGGCCACGCTCTTTTTAATGCACCCCAGGATGCCATTGGCCTTTTTGGCCACAAGGGCACACTGCTGGCTCATGGCCAACCTGTCGTCCACCAGGACACCCAGGTCCCTTTCCGCAGAGCTCCCCTCCAGCAGGTCATCCCCCAACCTGTACTGGTGCATGCAATTATTCCTCCCCAGATGCAAGACTCTACACTTGCTTTTGTTAAACCTCATCTGTTTTTTTTCTGCCCAGCTCTCCAGCCTGTCCAGGTCTTGCTGAATGGCAACACAGCCTTCAGGCGTGTCAGCCAATCCTCCCAACTTCGTATCATCAGCAAACTTGCTGAGGGTGGCCATTATCCCCTCATCAAGGTCATTGATGAAGATGTTGAACAAGACTGGGCCCAGCACAGACCCCTGAGGAACACCGCTAGTTACACCGCTGGTTTAAGTTGGAAGAGGGTAGATTTAGACTTGATAACAGGAAGAAATTCTTCACTGTGACAGTGCTGAGACACTGGAACAGGTTACCCAGTGAGGTTGTGGATGCCTCCACCCTGGAGGTCCTCAAGGCCAGGCTGGATGGGGCTTTGAGCAACCTGGTCTAGAGGGAGGTGTCCCTGCCTACAGCAGGGGGTTGGAACTAGGTGATCTTAACAGTCCATTCTAAATCAAACCATGTTATGATTCTATGATTCTATGATTGAACAGTGGATGTTTGCACAGTGAAGTGGTGGATGGTGACTTTCAGCAGTGGTGACAGTGATGTGAAAGACAAGCCACATTCCAGACAGCCTTGCACAGCTGCCACGCCACAAAATAACAAGTGTCTCAATCAGCTCATCCGCTCAAATTGGTGGATTATGACCAGGGAACTGTATACAAATCTGAAAATTGGCTTCAGTGTGTTGGAACCAGTGGTGGCAACATTGCAATGCAGACTTTTGTTCATTGCTGGTGAAAATGCATATTAGTGGTGACTATGATGAAAAACAGTGTCCCATATCTGTAAATTTGACCTTTCAAGTGGTGTTATCGTCCTCTTTACATCCATTGTAGTTTCCACAGAAACTGCAGCAGCATAGTGCAGTGTGCAGTCTTCCACAGGAGACGTCACTTTCAGGGCAACCTACATTCATTAGAAGATGGAATGCTAAAAGCAGTTCATAGGTGGGAAAACGACAGTGCCTCAACAGGTATCCCAGAGATCCACTGCACTATGGTGGGCATGCAATTAAGCTGCAGCAGCAGCACCTACTGGCTTGTTTTGTTCCACTGGAGAAGTCCTGTTGCCAAACAAACACTTTGCAACAGAGCTAAACTCAGTCTATGCACTGTGAAAAATGTTCAACAAACACACATTCACAGGTCTGGTGTAGTTTCCCAAACTGGGTCTCCCTCTACCCCTATTGCAATCCTGGCTGTGAAGAAAACAGTATTTATATGTTCCCAGGCAATCTCTCCCAGAAGACAAGAATGTGTGGTAAGAAAAACAACCCAACCACTTCACAGTCATTGTGAGCACCATATTGTTTTCAGTACAGTGAACATATCCTTTGAAATTCATAAGGCAAGCTGTCTGAGTGAGTACATGCAAACTTCGTTGTTACACTGGCATATGAACTGAAACAAAAAGCCTCCCGTCTTTCTCTTATAGTGATATAGTTTTTCCAACACACATTGTGAGTGTTGGCAGACAGCCACGTACATTTAAGCTCCAGGTGCCACATTTGCCATCTTCCTCTGAAGGATGGGCCTCTGTAAAGGAATGCATGTGATTCAACAGAAAGGGTCTACAAAATTGGTCTATGTAAATCAGCAGCATGCAGGTGGTTCAGACTTGTACCTCAAAACACGAGTCAAAGCAGTGAGACAGCAAATCAGAGAGAGGGACCATCTTGCTTTTTAAGCAGCATTTTATTTAAAAAAAATTAAAAACTTCAGTTGTATTAATAAAATATTACGTTCACGTCTTACATATTAATATATTCTAAAAATAACCATCCAGTGACTATTACAGAGTTTTTCATGGTTGGGACTCAGGTCACTTGAGCTCTCATTTTCATCTGCCATCCACAGCAATCAAAAAATCAATTTTTTTGGTAGTCCTGAAAAGTGTAAATCACATTGTTAGCACAGTAAAGGGGTAATGATGAGCGATCTTTTTCACACACAGTCAGTACCCAGCAGAACTGTCTTTAGGAGGTAACAGCTCTTTAAGTCTGTGACTTACCTTCAACCACATTTCTGTTAGTATCAACTGCAGAAATGAGGGCAGCAGCACTTCTGCATTAGCATAATGCACCTCTTGTCCTCTAATTTATTCATGTACTGCTTATTTATAATCTTGATAGAATAAACCACAGCTGCCTTCTGGAATGGATACAAAGTTTTCTATAGAAGGATCCAACAATTTTTACATGTCCTATAAGCAAGTGTCCTCTAATATAAATTAACAATGAATCATTCCCACAAACCTTAAGCAAACACCCAAATTACAGAAGCGCCTTTAAACATTAATAGGCTGTTGTTTTTTTTTCCAAGCCAGTGTAGAATAGCACAGGAAACCTGCCTAATCTCAGATCTGTACTATCTTAGGAAAGAGATCACTGCTGTATTCTGTATTCTCAATTTTATGAGCTTACAGCTCTGTAGAAATGCAAATTAACAGGACTGGAAGTTTGCATCCTGAAGAAGAAGTGCTCCATTTGATTGTTTTCCAGAGTGGAAAAGGTGAACAATCAGTGGACATCAGTGCCTCCACCTACCTTACTGATTAGAAATAAGTGGCAGCAGTAGCCAGCAATTACGTATAATACTTTTTTACAGGCTCTCATTCATGTACTGCTAGTTTTCCCTTGGCAATAGATTTTTTTTTTGAAAAGTACAGCTGCTGCACATTTAAATTTAGTGAGCACTCCCCAAGGCAATCTTCTTGTGAAAAAGCAGCACTTCATGGGGATGGCATAAGTACACTCTTAGCAGCCAGTTTCTGATGACAAGATTTTACAAGAGGACACTGACTGCTTCCCAGTTTAAGCTACTCAGTTTCTGCAGTGCTACCTCAACAGGGCTGGGGAAGATGCTGTGCAAGAACAAGCACATACAAGCCTGAGAATTTCAAGGGATTACTCACTTCAAAATGACTTTTGCACATTTCTACTTTCAACAGCAGTAAAAAGATGCTGCACTCTTAAAAAAGACTGGTTCTTCCAATATTCGCTTCAACTTCATTTTAACTTCAGAAGACTGTGCCATATAAGGGTATCAGAGGAAATCCAGGAGAGCAGATTTGTTGGCTGTAACACTGGTTCTCTCTTTCTAAGCTGGTTGGGGCTATTAAGATCTACACTTTTGATACATTTGGGTTCCGCCAGCAACACAACATAATTTTCAGACATGTTTCAACAAGCACTTGAAGCAAGTGATGCTACTTTTCATGCTGACAATAAAATATCTCAAAAAGTAACGCTGAATTCCTAAAAGCCTTATTTATATCTAAACTCTGAAGTCCTAGCCTTGTCCAAGGTCTGAGGCAGAAATCTGATTTCCCCTTACTGAAGATCAGACTTTTGTAAAGATGTTAAAGCATGTTCTGATACAGCTCTGGGAACTCTGTTCACTGACAAATGCAAGATTTCAAGATTTTTTTTTGCAAGACTGCAAAACTCAGAAGCATTTCTTTCTCTTTCCTGTTATTTAGCTGACCGTATATTCTAGGGACATGGACCTCAAAATGTTAATTGCAGACACATGGTGTTAGGTGCAAGAGATAAAAAGCTTCAACTAATGACTTTAATGAATTACCTATGGTACTTGACAAATTCCCACATGTCAGCTGACCAGTGGTACTGAGGTCAGCAAATAGTGAACAGATTAAAGATTCTAATTCAAAGAAAAATTAAGCCAACGAGCTTGTGGGCAGTGCCTGGTGTGGTTGGCACTTGGGCTTTGGTGGGTGGTAGCTACAGGGTGGTTCTGGGTGGTGCTTAACAGGCCACGGGGCGGTCATGTGTCATGGGATATAGGCGGCTGCTGTGCAGCAATAAACGGGCACTTGAGCTACACCCTATGGCGTGCGTCTCTCGTGCCCCTGTGACGGGTAGGGGTGCAGAAGGAGGGGTGCTGATAAGTGTCATTATCTGGGCTGGGATTGCGTGGAGGTTAGCATCAGAGCTAATGCGTTTTACTTGTAATTCGACATAATCTAACACAGTGGGTCAAAGTGCTTGAACAGTAAGATGAACTTAAATTATTTAGTTGTCCATCTGAGCTCATGAGGAAATGCAGTTTCATGGAAGCATTTCTGTTCCAGCAAGATATCACACTCTTGTATTGAAACAGCCTCATCCTGGTAAAAACAAAACTGGTATTAACCTACTATATAGCTATTAATTGCTACTATCTAGCAAATTCCTGCTGCCAAGATGACAGACTCCAAGCTCAAGAATTAATGTTTGCCTCTCTGCTACAAGGGCTGACTAGTTTAGTGTCACATACAGCTGTTGAGTCCACAAACCTTTTCTTGCTATGAGGGTATGAAGTATGTATTACTGTTTGAGGAAAACTGGAGGTTCCGTATGGAAGTAAATGTTAGGGGATAGGCTTGCTTCTTAAAAGGATCACTGTAATGTACTGAGATCTTCCTTACCCTGCATGGTCTTAACAGTTCATTTGCTTAGTCCAAAGGAGATAGCAGAAATCCCTCTAAATTTGACTTACATTCTTTAATCTATCACATAAAAGAAATACCATATTTATTTCTTATTTCTCCCTTCTTTTTTCTAAGTGATATGAAGTTTATTAACTCACAGAGAATTTTCTTGTTTGCTTGAGAAAACAAGAAGAAAGTCTGATAGCCTCTCATTTAGTAGATAATACCACACTCCATTAAAAGATTAATGGTATTAGAGATTTCTTCTAGTTAGCAGATCTGTAAAGCATAGCAAAAGAGTCTTTTGGTACCAATTCTGTTAGATTATAGAATTAAGCCATTCTTACCTTCAAGTGCTTATATGAAAACACAAATCCTAAAGGGCTCCAGATGGTACTGGTATCCAGGGTTATTATCCATTCAGAGAGTTTTTATGTTTTGAAATACTGGAAGTACAGTTTTCTCTCGTGTTCCCATTTTAAAACAGGTGAAACATTAAGAATTTACCTTGATCTACTCCCTCTCCTCGTTTCCTTTTTAAATTCAAAAGTGTGTGTTGTTGCTCCTTTACAGCTTCTGCAGCACAGTTGGGTCTGGGTAGCAGATATCCTGGAGTGGGTCCTGGTCGATTACTGAAATACTTCTGTTTCAATGCCTTGATATTAACAGCCAGAAAAAAAAAAGTAAGCATCAGAACTTCACATACAAAGAGACTGTAATTAAATAAATAGCTTTTAATCGAGACTTCAGAAACTCCTTAAGCATCTTTGTACTGAAAGATAGCAAGATTTAATATTCTCAGTGACTACCATGGTACTTTGTTAGCTAAGAGATAACCGCAAGCTCACTTCTAGCTAGCACTCAAACATTCTAACAAAACTCTAGATGACACTGCAGGAGATCAGTGAGTTTCTAGCTCTGAAGAACTCACTTTCTGAATAAAGAGATACATGAGTAAAGATGGAAGTGAGAAAAAGAGACTAAAATAGTGTAACCAAAGTTTTGAACACTATTGTTTTGCTAGCTTTCAAAACCGGTCTTCCTATTAATTAACTGTGCTGCTTCTACAGTGTAAAATGCAAGAAGACATAGTTTGAATGAGCATGTAAGCAAGATTAACTTGATGTAGAAAAATTACATACCCTATTTTAAATTCTAGCAGTTCCACAGCTTCCATTTACTATGCTTTATGGCTTTACTTATGTAGTCTGTTAGCTCTACATTACTTTTGCTTATGCCAATTACAAAGTATTCAATGCCATGTATAAATCAAGCCAATATGGTATGCAAAAATTGCTTTCCTGCCTTACACTGTGGAGATGTCAAGACTAGAAAAATCACACAAATTCAAGTCACCATCTTACAATATGGCCTGGAAAATGTCTTCATATATATGAGTTAATATAGGAATTGTCTCAAGCATGCTGCAACTAGTTACTTGGGAAGGTACATTTTTAGAGATGGTGACTAAAACAAAACAAAATCCTTCAATATGCTCTCAAAAAGTCAATTCGTTCAAGGGTATCTAACATGCACTGAGATTTGCCTTGTCCAGCAAGCCATGAGGGAGTCCCAGCCTTGCAGTGGGGGTGCGCATGCCACCCCGTGACTGTGAGGCAATAAATATTTGAATTAGTTGCTGTGCCTAGCCCACGACAGTAATCCTATTTTCAACTAGAACAGAACATTCTGCAAGATTTTAATTCAAAGTCATTTATTTCTACCCAATAAACAGTAGTGAAACTGAGATCAATTTTACTCAAGCAAGATGGAAACTGAAATTCAGATCAAGACAATGGCTTAAATCACCAGATGCCCATTTTAAAAAAGAACCAAGAAATTTTAAATGAAATTGGAGACTGGACGAATTAAAGATGAAAACATTTTAAAAGCAGGGAATAAAACATACTATGTTAAGATTTACTCGCTAGCTTATGAAACTGAATTTTGAACGTTCACTATGATTGTCTGGCTCATACACTTTTTAGTTGTCTACCTTGGCTACATAATTGGGAATGGTGATTATCAGAGAGTGTTGTTTCAAATTTTTCTGTATAAAATGTGGGAAATATGCTTACAGTATTTCACAGACAGATATTCCATTTCAGACCTGGCTTCTTAGCTTCAGAACACATTTATCTGATATTTTGAGTATGTTAATGAAGATTAGAACACATACAGGTGTACTATACCTGAGTGGCTGTAACTCTAGAACAAGGATTAAATGTAAATAATCCTTGTAGAAGACTAAGTAAATCATCTCCAGCTGCACTGAAGATATGTTGAAGAGGCATTCCAGGGAAAGACTTAAATGTGACGTAATCCGGAAGACTTGTCATTCCCTACAAAGACACAAAAATGGAATGTCTGTTTTTCAAGATTGAAGGCGTTTAGCTTTTCACAGAAATGAAACTTCATATAGCTGTATCCACAGCAGAAGCTAACTGTTCTTCAGACACCCTGTTAATACCTGATCACCGAGTGTGGGAATAATAGGTCATAAAAATTACTCTAAAAAAAAGAATTGACGCAGTATCCATTACCAAGTAATCTTTCACCCTCTTGCTTCAGTAGTGAGTAGTACAATAGGAAACAAAATTAACAAAGGAAGCATGGAGGAACTTTCACAGTGAGTGCAAAGTAAAACTAGCAGACAGTAGAAGAGACAAGATACACAGAGGAGCCAATGTGCACTTCCTCCTGGTAATATACTGTCCACTTCAAAGTTTGTCATCCATCATTAGCATTTTGAGCTACTTTTTCAAATGCACGTTTTATTTATGGGCTAAAGGGAAGGAAAGGAAAAACCAGTTAAACAAAAGATGAATGGCATTTTTGCCCCCTTTAGGTACAAAAAAACCCCAACCAACCAACCAACCCTTCTATTCAAATTTCACCATAAAACTAAACCAGTTACAGACAATTATCTAGATGTCAGTAAGCATTTTAAACCTTTAAATCAACATATTTCAGTAAGTTTGCTCATCAAGTTTATTCAAGCTAAATAAAACACTAATGCTGTAGTAAAAAATGTGTGCAATCAGTTACAACTTTGACTGCAAAGGTTTCAATATTTGAAAATCATAGGTTTGGAAATAAATTTGAGAATGCATTATCTCTGTTGTGCTAATGAATTTCCTGTCCTCTCCTTTTCTCACCTCCAAGAAAGAGAAAATATCACTGCAAAAATCTTTGTGCCTCCCTTTAGAATCCTAGAATAACAGAACTGTGTGGGGCTAGTATTGCCTTACACAAAATTTTTTCACATAGCTATAGATCCATTTAGTGACCACCTCAGGTAGCACCTAAGCACCATTCATACAAAGGAAAACCGGCATACAGGAGGAACAGTTGCAGGATACAATGACCCTTGATCCCTCAGGGGTCGGTCCTGGGACCGGTGCTCTTCAACGTCTTCATCACTGACACAGACAATGGCATCGAGTGCACCCTCAGCAAGTTTGCAGACAACACCAAGCTGAGCAGTGCAGTCGATGCACTGGAGGGAAGGGAAGCCATCCAGAGGGACCTGGACAGCCTGGAGAAGTGGGCCCATGAAAACATAAGGAGGTTCAATGAGGCCAAATGTAGAATGCTGCACATGAGCCAGGGCAATGCCAGGTATTTATACATACAATATTATACAAATATATATGTATCTGTATAAATACAAACAGGGAAGATCTCCTTGAGAGCAGCCCTGCACAGAAGGACTTGGGGGTCCTGGTGGACGAGAAGCTGGACACGACCCAGCAGTGTGTGTTTGCAGCCCGGAAGGCCAACTGTGTTCTGGGCTGCATTAAAAAGGGGTGGCCAGCAGACAGAGGGAGGTGATTGTCCCCCTCTACTCGGCTCTTGTGAGGCCCCATCTGCAGTACTGCATCCAGGCCTGGGGCCCCAGTAGAGGAAGGACGTGGAGCTCTTGGAGTGGGTCCGGAGGAGGGCCACTAAGATGGTCAGAGGGCTGGAGCTTATATGGAAAAAAGAAGTGCCCTAAGATGACTGACAACACCTAGCTATTCTGACTGAGCACAGCTAGACAGGTTACCATTCATGTTTTAGATGCAGCTTGTGTGGCAGATGAAGGCTTAAGGATACAATGCCACTGAAAGCCAGTGGTGCCAATCACAAGAAAAAAAAAAAAAAAAAAAAAAAAAAAGGGTCCACTGCAGTGACAGACACTGAATTCTGTATATTACCAGAGAGTTATTCTGAGAAATCTTTTTGCCTCAGAACTGTCTTTCTTTCTTTTAATGGATCCCGAATAAAAAACCTGGACAGCCCAACTTAAGGTCCTATAAATTGTTCCTAACATTGAAAGCAATTAGAGCCTTTCAAGTTAAAACATCAATATATCAAGAATCTCAAGAACATTAAGCAATCAATACTAATTTTATATCAATAGCATGGGAAACTGTGGACCAAGAAAGGAAATTAAGATGTCTCTCAACTGCTGCATGATGCTAAAAACACTGTTGTAATGATTAGAGATTAGAGATAGAAGTCTCAGCTCCTTATCTTCTTTCTTTGTGAGGGGCAGCTGCATTCTGAGAACTTAATGAAATATTCTGATACATTTTTAAAGTTAATTTCAAAAGCAAAAGTAGAGTCAAGTAAAATTAAAGTCAGAGTGTTAAACAAAAGGACTCACAGGCCACTGTTCTTCTGTTGGAGTGCCCAGTGTTTCAAAAATCCTTGTTAACTGGTCAAGATCAGAGTCTCCTGGCAAGAAAGGAACCTGGAGGAAGGCAACAGCTCATTTAAACTAAATTCTAGACTTAATTACAGAAATTATCTTAGAGTGGCTCCTCATAATTGCATTACACATTCAAACTGAAACATCTTTGTATACCATGTGCCTGTAACAAGGGACACTGAACACTTAAAGCTATCTAGTGACATCCATATAGATTTTGAACATTTCTTGTAACCCAGGCTTACTATCAGTGACTTGACAGAATAGAACAAAACATAACATTAAAACCACTACAGCATCAATGTAGAATCATGCTTTTATCAAGCTAAGTTGTTTTACCCTGGGCTGTAAATTTACAGTCTGTTGATCACAATAATCTTTCCAGCACCTACAACCTCAAGATAGGTGACATTACATGACATTATATATATAAACATTAACGTGGATTGCAATCACATTACAAAAGTGAGAATTAATAACAGTAGAACGAAAGAGCATCAAGAGAAATTATACTGACTCATATCCATAAAGGATTAAACTGCCTAACAAAGACAAGATGTCAACTAAGCTGGGCAGAAGACAGAAAAAAACGGCATGTCTGTCCAGTTTGAGCTGTCATTCATGCAACAGGCACACAGTGAAAGAAAAAAAAGGGACTTTGTGAACAAAAGTGAAGTTAGAGACAGTATTTTAATCATAAGGACAGAAAGAGCATAATGAACACCCTTGTAAGGCAGAGCACTCCATTTTGGTGCCTTGAAAGCCCATTGAAGATCTTTAAGAGCTTTTGTAAAGCTCCCGGAAATTTCACTATCCTTCAATCCAGTACACCAGGAAGAAGAAGAGACAGATATATTTAAAACTATCATAGTGATAAAACCTTGCCATAAACATCATCTGCTTCATAAGAAAAATAAATAATTTAATAGAATTAGATCATGTCTTTGCTTTCTAACTTTCCACAATGTACACAACTTCAGAGGTCTAATCCACACCTGTCCAACCTGCAGCCCACACACAGCCTGGCCCAGCCTGCCCTGCAGCTGTTCCCTGCCCTGTACCATCACAGCAGTGACTCTGCCCTGCCAAGTAGCCCAGCCCCGCCTCCAGCATGCAACCACTGCCGGCAACAACCAAACAGCAGTGTGCAACTGGCACTGCCTGGAATGAAATCAGGGCATGGCGTGGATGCAGTGCACTTAAGGCTCAAGTTAAGGCAAATAATTGCATGTATTGAGGCATATTGCTTAAACACAGTCCTGTGAACAGCGAAAAATATGCAGCTGTGCTTTCCATTTTGATTAAGTAATTTGAGAATGGGTTTCAAGGCTGCAGGAAAAATCACCAATTCTTCGGTATATTTGAATTAAAGCGTGATCATGTCTCTCTGTTGGACCCCTATAAGCCCTATTTTACCAAAGAGAATTATCTTCACAGATCTTCACTTCACAATCACACCTCATTAATATGCCATTGCTCTTTGGCCGTACGCATATTTGTGAACAACTGTTTTCAAGGATCAAACAGTAAAATTTCATAAAAATTTCTGATGAACACTTTGGCAACGCACTTATTGCGACCATTGCTATCAAACCAGGCTAATGTACAAAAGCAAAGTCAAATGTTTCACTAGGTCTGTGCTGTTGCTGCTTTTTAGGTTTTAATAAGAAATACTACAGAATAAAATAAGTTTTGTTTACTTATGTGCATTAACTATATATTTTACGAGGGCTGCTCCAAAAGTAATGCCTCCTATTTTACTACATTGGCCTACACTGCCAGAGGTGGATGTTGGTGGTATGATAGTAGAGGTGGACCCTTCCTACATTGGTAGGATATACCCCATCCCATGTTGTTGCTGTGTGACAGATGGCAGCAGTGGGGCACTCTGACAGAATGGCATCTGACATGGAAGTGCAGATGAAGCAAGAGGTGTGTTATTGAATTATTCCACATGGAAAAAAAATGGCATGCACTGATATCCATCCATACTTGCTGAACATTTATGGGGACCACAGAGCAGATGGGAGGAGGTGGACGGTGCGTATCAGCACTGATGCCATCACAGCAACTGTGAACAGGTATCACCTTCACAGGTAGAGATTTTTATAAGCATGGCATGCAGGCTCTTGTTCAACGTTGGGAAAAAAAACACAGCTAATAGTGGTGACTACATTGAAAAACACTGTTTTGTAGCTGAGAATTTGCTCTATCAAATAACTACTGTGCTATTTGTATTTGTTGTTGTCTCCATGGAAATAACTAGCAGTCATCTCTTCTGTAGCATTCCACATATACACAGTGCAAGATTATCCCTTTTCACTCAACATGGCCCAGGCAAGCCAGAAGGTTGGACACCTGTGGCCTCATCTATGTTTATGCATGCACTACTGATGCTTCTTAAGCAACCACTCTATATTTCCATTCTGAACTTGTACTGGCACACCTATACATATGACAAATCAGACAAGGCAAATGACATATTCCCAAGTGTTTTCAAACAGACTAGTTACCTAATCAGGCTCACAATACAACATACACTTAAAGTGCATAAATCAAGCAGAACCTGCTTATTTTGGGAAGTTATACTGCAGGCTACTTCATGCTTTCAGCTATGCTTGTACCCCCTGCCCTCCACTTCCTACCTCCTACTTCAGTGTTTTCAGAAGACCTACATAATTGCTTATTTCCATAACGCATATTTATGGATGATTACACCCGTACATAACATCTTGCTGAGGAGTGACATAATGTAATCTTGACTATCTCCAGCCTCACTCCAGTCTATTAACTAGCCACAGTTTACAACAACAACAGTACATTTTCAGCTCATTACAAATAAATCTACAGTGGTACTGTGGTCATTATTCCCAATTATTGGTAAACAATTTATAGAGTGTACATGTACATATGATGCCAAATGTTCTGAGAATATCATAGATGAAAACTGAGGAATGGCTGTGTGAAAAGAAAACACGGAGAGGACTGGAAGAGTAACCTACTTCACTCACCTTCCCAAAGGCAGAACTGTGATACTCTGTTGTACTTTTTTGCCTAGCTGTTTTTTAAGGTTTCCAATCTTTGCAATGGTTTTGGAACCTCAGCTTATTAGAAAATTTCCCCTTCCTTATAGGTACCAAACTTATGGAAGTTATTTCCTTCCTGCCCCCTTTCATTGCTCCTAGGAAGTAGCCTAAGTTTCTATTGATTATACTACTGCAGGGAAGAAGAAACCCACATCTAAAATGCACTGAAGAACAAATACAAATGCTTACATTTGAAGACTTACCCTGAGAAGCAGCTCGGCTAGAATACAACCAACAGCCCACATGTCAACACCGACACCATACATTCTAGCACCAAACAGTAGTTCTGGGGATCGGTACCATCTGAACAGAAAAAAATGTTTCAGGAGAACCTGGTTTTACTTGATGTATGCTGCAGCAGTGCAAGACTACAAGAATTCTGCTCTTGCCCATGTATTTTCTAAACATTAAAGAACCACAAAGCGTTGTTGTTGTTTTGTTTTTTGTTTGTTTTTGTTTTTTAAGTTTGAAAAGCATTGCATTGTACATCATGGGGCTATGTGTAACCACAGTTTTACTACAGCTGAGCTAACGGGCAAACAACAGAATTGCAGATATGCAAAGGAAAAAGTATAAAAGTATATAGGGAGGCTTACATGTTACAGACTGTTGTTTTCTTTAAATTTATTTTCAATAAATGGTACTTTAAGACAGAGTTCCTTTCAGCTTTCAAAAATACAACTAGCAACAGACTTAGAAATTAATTTTGTGTAAAATACATCTTGGCAGCAATTATTTGAAGCTGGGCAAGATTTGATATACACTGCATTTCAAACAACTGTATCACTGATGCCTTTTGATTGAATGAAGGTATTAAACAGTTTTGCTGTATAGTTTTAGCATTACAGTGGACCAAAGGAAACTTATTTTGCAGTAATTTGTTGTTGTTGGTTTTTTTTTTTTTTTTAAAAAAAAAAGAGTACATGTCTTAAGTAAGCACATCAAAAATGACATTAACTTAACTGGGTTGAGCTTTTACATCACAATAGTTAATATGCCTCACTACAAAAGACTGGTGGGTTCATGATTAGCAGCAAGTAACAACTGTCTCTCTGAAAGCTTGATTTATAGGTAAATAAATGTTATTTTCACGTGCTTCAAAACCATATCATACCATAGAACAACCTCCAGGGACACAAATTCTAATCATTCTTTAAAACACTGCTAAAAAGCATTTTATTATGCTTTCTTTACGCAAAGTTATGAGACCTTTTGCCACTATAGTCATACTACTTGAGCTAGAAATCAAACTTGAAATGTGTTGCTTTAACTTGGTGTATTCCACAGGGTAATACATAACATTTACCATCAATCTAAGAAATGTCTTACCTTGTTACTACTTGGTGTGTGTAAACTCTGTTTGGGCTTCCAAAAGATTTTGCCAAGCCAAAGTCAGCCAATTTCAAAACACCGTTTTCATCTAACAGCAAATTATTTGGTTTAAGATCCTGTCAGCACAGAAAGCAAAGAAGGAATCCTGTCGTTAATAAAAACAGACATACAGAGAACATCCCAGCAAGAGTATAGTAACAGTATTCTAAAACTCAGTCTAAATATATTTTGAGTTTTTACACTGTGATGAAGAAAACAAATGACATCATTTCCACATAAATGAAAATAAAAAAATCATCAAACATCACAGTTTGAATATTATGATATTTAATTTCCAGAGCTCAAAAACACAGATTTGTGGTAGGTTTTTGCTTTGCTGCAAGAACGTTACTTCTGTCTTACTGCACTGTTGAAAAAAAAGAATAAGATGATCGCTAATTTGTCTGACAGCTGGAGAGGTTACGGGACTGATATAGTTTAATACAGTAACAGTGTTGTGTCCTGGATGCAGCCAGGAGGCACAAAGCCATTTACTTGCATCTCCTCATAACCAAGTGAGACAGGAAGAGCAAGAAAATTCATAGACTGATATAAAACAAAGGGCATTTAACAGGTGAAAGGAGGAAAAAAGCCCAAAAACAACAAGAAAAAAACTAAACAAAATCCAAAAAACAAGGGACTCAAAGGAATTCACTTATCACCTCCCACAAGCAGAGACTGCCCAAATAGCCTCTGAGCAACAGCCAACTTGGAAGACAAAATATTTTCCTATATCCCATTTTTTAATTTTTATTTATTTATTTTTACACTGTTGTACCACAGACAGCATTTCTCTGGGCCACTTGGGTCAGCTGCCCCAAGTGCTTCATCCTGTCCCAATCTTGAGCCCCTCCAAGCAGATCTGCTGGGTTAGAGGCAGAGCAGAAAAAGGCTTGAGGATGCGCAAGCAGTGCTCAACAGGTGGAAAGAAGCCCACTGTTTTAACTACAGATTCAAAATACAGCATGATGCAAACTCCTATTAAGAAAGTTAACTTCATCTAAGCCAGACTAGATCACAGTTCTAACCAAAGTCATGAATCACTTGAGACAGCTTGACAAAGGCTGCTCAAAAAGTAGCACCTCCTGTTTTGTATGTTGACCCACAGCGTCAGAGGCAGATGGTGGTATGGCAGTAGAGGTTGAACCTACTCACCAATATCCCATTACATTCTTTTGCCACGTGACAGATGGCAGCAGAGAGGCAGTCTAACAAAACAGCATCTGACATGGAAGTGCAGATGAAGCAAAGCTGCAGAACTGAGTTCTTCTATGTGTAAAAAAAAAAAAAGGTACTTGCTGACATTTTCACTGACACTTGCTGAATGTTTATGGAGACCAAACAGTGGATGTGAACATAGAGAAGAAGGGGTGGTGCGTTACTGCAGTAGAGACAGTGAGTGACATCTGCTGATGCTGGTTTTTAAGAGCGTGGCAAGCAGGCTCTTGTTCATCGCTGATTAAAATGCATAGCTAAGAGTGGTGACTACGTTGAAAAACAGAATTTGCTCTGCTGTATAGAGCTACTGTGCTTTTTGCATCGTAGTTTCCATGGGAATTAATAGAAAGCATTACTTTTGGAATGGCTTACACATATAAGCATCTACACTATAGATGTCAGTAATTCTTAACATTTCCAGCATTGCAACTGCCACTGCTCAACAGCTAGTGCAACCCTATGCACTGCAAACCAATGAAGGTTTCATTATTCAGACTAAAATTCAATCAAAAGTGACATTTGTTATGGAAACAAAGGCATTTAGAGCATGCTTACCCTGTGCAGAATCCATTGTTGATGTAAATACTCTAATCCTTGCAGTGTCATCAGCATGTAGGCTTTGATGTGAGCTTGTGTTAACACAATACTAGTATCCTTTATAATAACCTGCAAATGTTACATTGACAATGGTAGATTGATAAGCACAAAAGCTTATAATGCAAAATTATTCCGCAGTTTTTTCAGCTCAAAAGTTAGCTTATGCTTTAGGATAAAGTTGCAATTAGTAGCTATACATACTCTACTGTTCACATCCTTTGTCCAAAAACAAAACAAAACAAAACAAAACAAAAAAAAAAACCCCAAAAACAAAAACCAGACTCCCCTCCCCCCAAAACAACCCATAAACAAAAAAACAAAACAAAACAAAAAACCCACAGGTCTATACTGATCTAGATATCAGAACCGGAGTAGGGACTCCAGATGGTCTATTGTGAACTTGGCATAAGCAGCTCATTTAGAAAATTGGCAGGAAGCATGATTTTATTTTATCTTCATACCAAACATATCCAATCTTACAAGTCAAAAGTTGTACACAAAAATAACAGATGTGTTAATAATCTACAAGAAATTATATTCCTACATGTTCATTTGTCCTCCGTGCAATTTAAGCATCTAATCCTTGTTAACACATTGGTTTCCTTTTTCTCCCCCCACAAAGACAGGGAAGTATAGCCACGACACTATATTTTAACAAACTTAAGTGTTCAACATAGTTTAATTTTTAACATCAAAATTCTAGTGAACATCCTCCTTAAAAATACTTTCTAAGTCACTCCCTCAAAATCGTTTAATATTGCTTTTCAGTTCATTAGTACCATTTCTCAAGATTTAAATTGTTTGAGATTTACAAAGCAACAGCCTAAAACCAAAGAATTTCCAACATGCAGCACGTGCCTAATCACAACACGCCTCAGTCCCTAACAAAGGTGTCTGAATGATACCGCAACATGAATAACTGCTCTGCATTGTGTTACTAAGTATTTAATTCCTCCTTGTACAGTGCACCTTCTTGATTCCTAAACACTGCATAGTTACTAAGTAGAAATGAATCCTCTAGAAAGTACAGGCATTACTTCTACGAGCAAAAAGAAGAAAAGTAAAACTTCAGTCTTATATTCCTCTGAGATTCAAGAAACTTGTCAATGCTTTACTTTAATATTTTAAGTGTGAGCTCCAGGGTCTCACGCCATATGTACAATGGGTTAATTTCTTCCAGAGTATGGATATGCATATACAGATCTGACATGAGAATCATCCAAAATGTCTTCTCAGCAGTGCTCCACAATGAAGCATCTGCACTGAAGTATTTGATAAAAATATTTTGGCAAAAGACAAACTAACGAAACATCTATAAGAGTCAGGCTTGCAAGCAAGCACCACTGTCAAATTTAAAAGAAGGGTCCAGGAGTATGTGACTTCTAGTCAGATCATTACATGGCATACTTTAATAACATCACACTTACTTGTGCATGTTTTACATTACTGTGCTTAGCAATTGCATTCTGAGATCCTGGCTTATGATCAAGTGGTTCTATGCTCTGACTGAAGTCCTAGAAAACTAATATAGTAAACATTCTGTTTCCTGGTAACAGCGCTGACAGAAATTACTTAAAAGTAAAGGCATTTTCAGTTGAAATTACACAAAAACTGTCACACTATTCCAACTCTTTTAAAGGTATAATATTAATCAAGTTACATAATGAAAGACACCATTATAAAAAGAAAATTAAAAAAAAATACAGTAAAAGTAAGGCTATAAAAATATGTTTTTCAGAACGCATTTTCAAAATGCATTTGAAGACGCTGAAATAAGAGATATCTTAATCCGTCTTACCTCAAGGTCTGTTTCCATGAAGTCAAACACCAAGCTAATATTGGATTTGTGTCCAAATGCATCTAAAAGCTGTAAAACAAAATATGTTATGATGAACTATACTCCCTCAACTCCAGTTTTCTAAAATTCCACTCTACTCTAGTTTGCACAGGCACTTTCAGTTTACTGGCAGAGACAGACAGGCACAGGACTACCTACGGCCTAGACCTGGGAAAGCATGGAACTGATCTCACAGTTCTGTCTTGAATCTTGTTTTCTTTAATGTAACCCCGTAATATGAAGTAGCACTGTTGCAGTTCGCCTACCTGCAACACAAAATTTATTACTCAGTTTAGTTCTTAACTCAATAGCCAAGAAGTCCACATTATCTGGTAACATTTTATACAACTACCTCTCCATCCTAGAATTAAAAATCTTGAATTCATAGAATCACAGAATTGTTTGAGGTGCTAAGGATCCTTAATGATCACCTAGTCCCTCTCACCTACAAGGAAAAGGGACACACACAGCCAGATCGGGTTTCTAAGAGCCCTATTCAGCCTGACCTTGAATGTCTCCAGGGATGGAGCATCCATCACATCTCCAGGCAACCTCTGCCAGTCAGTGCCTTACCACCCTCACTGCACAAATTATTTTCCTTTTGTGCAATCTAAATCTTCCTTTTTATTTTGAAACCACTTCCTGTAGTCCTACCACAACAGACCCTGCTGAAGAGTCTGCCTCCTTCCTTCCTACAGCCCCCCTTTAGATAGTGAAAAGCCACTATCAGGTGTTCCCAGAACCTTCTCTTCTCCAGGATGAACAGGCCCAGCACTCTCAGCCTGCCCTCATAGCAGAAATGTTCAATCTCTTGGATATTTTTTTGGCCCTCCTCTGGACAAACTCCAACAGGTCCACATCTCTCCTGTATTGAGGACGCCACATCTGGATGCAATACTCAAGGCAAGCAGAGCACAGAGCAGAACGGCAGGATCAGCTCCCTCACCCTGCTGGCCACACTTCTTCTGATGCAGCCCAGGATACAGTTGGCTATCTGGGCTGCAAGTGCACATTGCTGGTTCATATCCAGCTTACCATCCAATACCCCCAAGTTTCTGCTAACTTTGATGGATATTCCAAAGCACACCTTGCATCCTTACCCTCTACCCAAGCTCAACTGTTATATAGAACTTCTGCCCTCTTGGATTCATGAATGATTGCAAATTTGCCAAATTCCTTCTCACACTGTTGATATCATCTGCTTCTGTAATGCCTGTGGAAATAAACTTGAGAGATTCACTATGTTCTGTGTGAAATACATGGATTGCCTTCTACTGCATAATTTATACATACTATTGTTTTGTGATTGCTTCCCCCCCCCCCCCCCACTATCAGTTCCACTTTACTTACCAACCAAGTTCAGTAGACTTCTCTGTGTACTGTAACCACTTTGAAAGTTAAATTCACAGTCCAGAAGAGTACTGTACCTCCAGTCCAAAATGCTAAATAAAAACTCCAGAGAATTCCTATCTGGTCTAGTGGTTATGGCAAAGTTTTGAATGACCTACATTTGCTAATTTTAAAGTACCTTCAGCTCCCGCTAAGTATCTGTAGACAGAAGTCAATTTAAGTAAGACTGAAACAAGACAGGAATCACACTACCTAACAATGGGTTTAAGTGGCAGCAATAAAACCTAATAAAAACTATGTGAATCCCACTTCACTGTTACTTACAAAGCCTGCTTTTGGCTGTCACAATTTCCTCTGCCGCTAGCCAGTTCAGGTAAATTTAACACTGCACTCGTTTGCATTTGTATAATTGAAATATAAAAATAAATAGATAAATAAAAATCAGACGATCTAAATTTCTAGAAGCCTTCCTACCTTTGATTTCCATAACCATGAGCTAAATAGTAAAGGATTTAAAAGTAAAAAGACTAACATAATAAAAATAATAAAAATAACATTTATTAAGAAAACAGATGTTTTTCTGCAACAACTGTTTCACTGTTCACCTTGGGCAAAGAATCTACAATAAAGTAGCTTTCTGATAACTAGTTTTAAATTTCAGTTTGAAACTGTATCAACAGTATTTGGGAACTGATTTTAGAAGTAGCATTCATTTTACTTACACCAATAACATTCAGATGGCTTAGTTCCTGCAACAACTTTATCTCTCTGAGAGCTGTTCTGTTGATTCCTATATCGAAAAAAGTAATGAAATAGAATAAAATTAAAAATTTCAAATTAAACTCCAGCAAAGAAACCTCTTACTCTGTTGTTCATTGATTATTTAACATTACAATCCTTTTCCTCACCGCTCATCTATTTGTTAAAGCCAAGCAGACTGCCACAGATACGTAGATTGCTGCAGACAAAATATAGGTAATAATTAGAAGATATAGATTATAAAGCAATGTATACATTCCTTTGGCTAAAAAGGTCTGTTCTACAACAAGCCTAGAAAAACAGTTTCCAAGTTATAGCAAGATTTGATTTTGTTTTAAAGTAAAGTTACGTCCTGGAAATTTCAGTTCTACACTGCATCATTTCCAGAGGGAGGTAGAATGAACATGATTTTTGGGAAAAAAAAAAAAAAAAAAAAAAAAAAAAAAAAAAGGCTATTTCAGATGGAAGAGGTAAGAAAATTTCTCTTCTGCAGTTGTACTACAACACAAAAAGTACTGGCCAAAACCTGCTCACCCTAACACAAATCCTGTAACAGACAGATTTCATAAAGAAAAACCTGGGGCGGGAACTTTGATGGCCATCCATACTGCATCCCATCAAACCATGCACACTAGTAACAACTCCTCTCTCAAAAACATGCTGGTATGAATGGCTAAGACAACTTACTGGCAGACAAACACTACTGCACTTCATTGTGCAGCAAGTTTCAACTATGGGTGCTCAGAAAAAGCGCTATCCCCACTTTTATTCAACATATAAGATTCTAGCAAAGATTTGGGTGCAGTGATGGATTAATTTACACTCTCATTTCACCTACTTTAATTCCTTCTTTAGAAACAAACAGACAGTGTCTGCTCTCATGTGGGCATATTTTTTATACTAAAAAAAAAAAAAATTCGAAGTATGCAACCAGTTAAGCACAAGGAAAACCAGACATGATCACTCTTCTTTTTCTTGAATTATGGCTGCAGGCCCTAAAAGATGACTGTCCTTAAAGGACATTAGTCTAGTGAAGACCAGGTGAATCACAGCTCTGTGGCAGTTGACACAACTGGAAGACTCTGGGATGTCTAGTTCTTCCTTAGAATGGAACTGAAGAATTTTCACAAGAATTTGGTAACCGGTGCAGGATCCCTGAAGGATGGCAGCTACGCCCATATGACTGCACACTATTGCACCAGATAAGCAAAAAGCAAAGACCAGGATTATTGGGTTTTAATTGCAACATCAATGCCTGAATGCATGTGGCTGGTCAGAGCAATTTATCAAAAGAAACTACTGCACAAATATAATTTCTCAAAACAAAACAAGCAAATTTACGCAAAGAAAAGATTTTTAGAATCTTGTTTTTACTCATTGTTTTCATGTGATGTTTTCTGAGACAAAAAAGATAAGCACTCGCACCTCCTTTGCACAATTAAGACACAGAGGCACATGTAAGCATCAGAACTATTATTCTATGCTATACTCATGTTTGGGTTGCACCTAAACTGAGAAAGTTGACAGCCATCTATGCGCAGTTAGACATACAGTACGAGAGTACTGTATTTTTGAGGTTATTTTTTTCTGTCCCCCTAAGTTTGGAAGGAATCAATCACCCAGTCTGCAGAAACAAAACCAATAAAAGCAGCTTATATAACATGAACTTATTTTAATACTTACCATCTTTAGCTTCTGATCGGTGTCCCAATTTAATCTGAAAATAAATGTCTCATATTATACAAGGTCAAGCCACAGGCCGCAACAGTACAGTTACATCCTTTGGTGTTATTTTTCCAATGCAGGTTGAGTTTTAATACCACATTTTCAAGTCCAGGAAGAGTAAAATTTAATAAAATGTCTCTGATGAACACCTTGAACCCTCATTAAGAGCTGCAGCCACTGCCATCCAATCAGACTCATGCATTAGTTGTACAAAAACAAGGTGAAATATCTCTTTAGTTTTATTTTGCTGTTGCTCTTTTAGTGCTTTAATTAAAAAAAGTGCTGTTACTTCTATATGTTAACAATACCGAATATTTTACAAGGACTGCTCTGCAATAATGCCTCCTATGTTATTACACTGGCCTATGATGTCAGAGGTGGATGCTAGCGTGGCAGTAGAGGCTGAACCTTCCCATTCTGTGTTGCTGCCATACGACAGATGGCAGCAGAAGGGTACTCTAACAAAATGACATCTGACATAGAAGTGTGAATGAAGCAAAGGTGTGTTGCTGAACTACTCCATGCAGAAAAATGGCACCTACCGAGATTCATCGACACTTGCTAAACATTTATGGAGACCAAACAGCAAGTGTGAGCACAGTGAGGCAGCAGGTGATGCATTTCAGCACAGGTGACGACAACAGCAGGTCAGCTTCACTGGTACAGATTTATGCAATTGCAGCACGCAGGCTTTTGCTCACTGCTAGTGACAATGCCTAACTAATGGTGGTGTCTCTGCTGAAAAATAGTTTTTGGTATCTCAGAACACGCTCTACCACATAGTGTCACTGTGCTTTTCACATCTGCTGTAGTTTCCATAGAAGTAAAATGGAGGTTTTGCTTTCAGTCCGGCCCATGTATACATGGCCCAGAACAATCCGACCTCACTACACGTGGCACAGACAAGCAAGAAGGCCAGGCAGCCATAGATTGTGCTACCTTCGTTTTCTTTGCCAACGGCTCTAGCAACCCTCACGCACTACCCACGGCAGCCGTCCACACAAGCAGCGCTGCAGGGCAAGGCGCTCAGCGACACAACAGAGGGACGTTCCAGCACTCACCTTTTTGATAGCAACGATCTGCCCCGTGACCTTGTCCTTTGCCTTATACACAGTAGCAAACTACGGGGAGAGAGAGACGCGCGTGAGCGCATCGGCAGGGCGGCCCGCAGCGCCGAGCCGGCAGGCCCGGACACTGCGGCGGACGGCCCGCCTCGCGCACCCCGGCCACCCCCCAGAGGGCCCCGGCAGCCGCTCACCTGCCCTTCCCCCAAGAAGTCCAGTTTCTCGTAGCGCTTCGCACGAGCCCGCGCATCCATGGCCTCCGAGCGGAAAAGACGAAAAGAACCCGAGGCCGGAGAGACGAGACACGAAGCGGAAGAGCAACGACGGGGCTTTATCAGCCCCCGCGCCCGGCGTCGCTTCAGGCCCGCCGCCCCGCCCTGCCGCTGGCTGCCCCGACGCCACCGCGCGGCCGCCCCAGCCCCCCGCGCCGCGCGTCGCAGCCGCGTCAGCTCGGGGGCGGGCCGTGCACCGCCCTGACCGCGCTGCTTGGGGGCGGCGGGCTCTGATGGCCTGCTGCCGCGCAGGCGCAGTAGAGCTGCGGCGAATCAGACCTCGGTTAGCCGCAGAGAACGCTTCGCGGTTGCGCAAATGGCACGACTGCAATAGTGCAGTCGAGGGCTGCGTGGTTTGTAGAAGAGATAGACAAGGAAGGAGGGGCGGGGAATTGCGCTCTGCGTTAAAAACCGGACGTGGATTGTGAACATGGATTATGGAGAGCTGCCTGCGAGGAACAGCCAGGGTCAGGCAGAGAGCTCGTGGGCAGCAGCAGGAACTGGTCCATTGAAGGACATCTGCTGCGTAGGGTCTACTCCAGGCTGCCTAATCAAAGGGAGCCTGTGCGTGAGGCCTTCTTGCTACAGAAGGCTCTCATCCTGATGGGGGATTTCAACCACCCAGGTGTCTGCTGGGGAAACAGGACGATGGACTGCAGGCATTCCAGGAGACTCCTGAAGTGCGTGAAGGAAACTTCCTGACCCACGTGTTGGACAGACCAACCAGCAGTGAATGGACCAGGTGCTCATCAATGCAGATGAGCTCATTAAAGAGGTTAGGGCAGCAGGCACTTGGGCTGTAGTGAACATGGCCTGCCTGAGTCTGTGATCAGGAGGAACAGGGGCCTGACAAACAGCAGAGTCAGGATCCTGAACTTCAGGAGGGTGAACTTCTGCTCAAGAAGCTGTTGGATGAGATCTTCTGTGAAACTGCTGTTAGGTGCATAGAAAGGGAACAGAGCTGGCAGCTCTTTAAAGACACCTTTCTGAGAGCATAACAGCTCTCCATCCCCCAGCATAAGAAGTCAGGCAGAGGAGGTAGGAAATGGACGTGGCTGAGCAAGGACCTGGTGTTCAAACTGAGGGATAAGAAGGACATGTACAGGAAGCAGAAGCAGAAATGGGTCGTCTGGGAAGAGTACAGGGATGTTGTGCAGATGTACAGAGGTGGGATTAAGATAGATGAAAGTAAAATTGATGAGGCATTTGAAGAATAACAAGAAGGGGTTCTGCAGGTCCATTGGTCAGAAAAGACAGGCCAAGGAGAGTTGTTCCCCCTCTGATAAATGAAAAGGGAGAACTGGCTACAATAGACATGGAGAAGGCCAAGGTACTTAATGAGGTATTTTCCTCAGTCTTCACTGGCAGTCAGGTTTCCCCTTGTCTCTAGCATCTCTGAACCTCTTGGTAGAGACTGGGGGAGCAAAATACCTTCCACTGTAAGAGAAAAGCAGGTCCAAGACCACCTCATGGGACTGAATGTGTACAAGTCTATGGAACACACATGTCGGAGTCCTAAAGGAACAGGCTGATATAGTTTCTAAGCTACTCACCAGCATACTGGAAAAGTTATGACTGGTAGGCAAAGTCCCTGGTGACTGGAGAAATGACTCCCATTTTTAAGAAAGTGAGAGAGGGAATGAAGACCCAAGGAACTACAGGCCATTAGGCTATTAAGCCTCACCTCTGTGCCTGGGAAGATCATGGAACAGGTCTTTCAACACACGTGAGATGAGATTATCTAGGAAAGCCAGTTCAGCCCCATTAAGGGTAGAATGTGCCTTATCCTTCTAGTGGCCTTCTACAATGAAGTGATGGCATCAGTGGACAACAGAGCAACTGATGTCATCTGCCTGAGCTTGTGCAAGGCCTTTGACAGGGTCCTACACCACATCCTTATCTCTAAATTGAGGTGGTTTTGATGAGTGAACTATTCAGTGGATAATTGGTTGGTTGGATAATTGCAGCCAGGGAGTTACTGTCAATGGATCTACGTCCAAGAAGAGGCCAGTGATGAGTGGTGTTCCCTTCGACTCCATCTTGAAACTGGTGCTCTTTAACAGATTTATTAATGACATAATTAATTGACAGATTGATTACATCCTCTGCAAATTTGCAGACAACACCATGCTGAGTGGTGCTGTTCATACGACAGAACAGATGTCATCCAACAGGACCTGGACAGGCTTAAGAAGTAGGCTCATGTGAACCTAATGAGATTCAACAAAGCATTGCACTGATATGTGCACAGATAAGGAGAAAAATTTGCTGAGAGTTCAGAGAGCAGCCCTGCAGAGAAGGACTTCAGGGTTCTGGTAGATGAAAAGCTGGACACAAACCAGCAACGTGTTCTTGCTGCTTGGAAGGCCAAATGTATCCTGGTCTGGATCAAAAGCGGGGCAGCCAGCAGGATGTGGGAGGTGACTGATTGTTTCCCTCTGCTCTGCCCTTCTGAGGCCCCATCTGGAGTACTGTATTCATGCCTGGTGACCCCAGCACAAAAAGATGCAGCACAGCTGTAGTGCATTATGAGGAGGATCAGAGGACCTATCCTATGAGGAAAGGCTGAGACAGTTGGGCTTGTTCAGCCGGGAAATGGCTCCAGGGAGACTCCATTGTGGCTGTCCAATATTTAAAGGGAGCTTATTATAAACAGAATAGAGTGGGACTTTTTACACAGTCTGATGATGACAGGAAATGGTTCTAAACTAAAAGAGGGGATATTCAGATTAGATAGTAGGGGTAAATTCTTTCCCTGGGAGGGGGGGAGGCAAAGCACTGGAAGAGTTCCTCCAGAGAAGGTGTAACACCCCAATTTTTGGACGTATTCAAGGCCAGACTAGATGGGGCCCTGGGCAGCCTAATCTAAAGGGTGACAACCCTGCCCTCAGCATGGGGTTGGAAATAGATGGTCTTTAAGGTTCCAGCCAAATAAAGCGATTCTATGAGTCTCTGAGTGTGGCTGTGAAGCCAGCCCTGAGGAGACCTGTTAACAAGGAAAATAAAGCAACTCAGTTTGTTCTATTGCCAGATTCATAGAATGGCTAATTAGAAAAATATTCTAATGATGTAGCCATCAATTGCTGTTAGTTATCAACAGAAAATCTCTCATCACCAATTAATAGCATTGTGTCAACCTTTACACCTTTGTGTAGGGTTTTTATTAAAACTATCAGTATACTATTATTTATAATGTTAAGGAAAAGCTTATATGATGAACACCATACTTCTTTCTTCAACAGTGGTGAGCAAATTATCTTCTGTACTTATTCTGGACCTCCACGCTGCAAAGCAAAAAATAGACAGTTAACTATTTTTCACTAAAAGAAAGGGAAATTGAGATCCAATCTTCCTTTGCAGTTACAGATTAACAAACAAGTCCTAGATTTAACTTATTTACACTTTGATTTTTAATCTATATTGGACACGCTACACATCAGAAAAATTATCATTAACAGCTCATTTTCCATATGGAACAATATAAACAGTATAAAAACCTCTACAACCTATATTTGCAAATGTTCCCTATTCTCTCAGTTGGAAGAAATACGACTTCACTCACTTTAGAAAGGTCAGACAAACAGCGGTAGTAGTAGTTTCAGAATTTGTTTTACTGCCCAAATTCCAAAGGGCAAACTAAAAGCAAAGCCCAGGTAAGCCGCTATAATCTTTATGTGAAATCAGAAATTATTTTACAACTTGCCTCATGGTTTAAAAAAAAATAGGGAAGTAAAGAAGATGTATGTAACTACAGGAAAGAGATCGTTTTATTTCACATTTAAATACTCAACCCACTTCATGCTGAAAAATAGGTTTCCTGTACTAACACTGTTATCCTTTAAGTGTCCTTATCATTTAACAAAGCTACTGTCTAGCTCTTCAAATTCTGTGCATTTTCCCTTTTTAAGTAAAAATGTTTACATTTGAAAACTGTTACAGAAGAAAAGCAGTTTTTCCTTGACTTTCCCATGTAATGCTGCCACTGCAAATATTTCAGGAAATATTTCCATCAAACTTAGCTAAAATATTCCCAATAATTGTAAGTGCAACAATTAACTTCCCATTACATAATACTTTCCAAACTAGTTTTTATGAATTTTGTGCTTCAGCCACCTGGCAAGGGCTGGTCCACGAGCAGAATTCTGTGCTGCCATCCAACATATTCACATTATACATTAAACATCTATTATAAAACAAGAAGTGACTATGCTTGATGTAGGCTCTACTTATCACTACCTGTCTACCTCTGCTTTAAATCTGGATCTCATGGCGACACCACAAGCTACTGATTAGTAAGAGCTCTGAACCTCAAGGTTCAAGGATTTGTAGTTTTGGTACTGTGTATCAAAGCTGCAAAAGCTTTTCTTAACAAAAAATTATAATGTATTATCTTACGTGAAACCTTAAGAACCTGCAGAAGTAAGAAGAATGTTGGGTAAATAGGAGAACACACAACAGTTACTGAGACTTACTTGAATATATTCAATCTCTTCAACTGACATAAGTTTCCTTCTGTACTTTTGAGGTAAGATTCTTGCTAATTCAGAAGTGTCTGGTGCACCTTGTGCCCTACTAACAGGTGAAATATTTTGAAAGGCCAGTGGTCTCCCTCCTATGGACTCCTGTGCATTTGAAGCATGAGGTGATGGAACACTTGCTTGTAGAGATTCCTGTACTGAAACCCAGGTTGAAAAGCAGTGTAAAGAAATGTAATGATATTGTACAATTAGACGAGTGGCAAATATGTCATTGACAATTACTTTTGTCCTAACAGATATTAATATACTCAACTGATCATAACCTGTTTTTACTCCTACTAAAAACATCAAAAGCACAATGAAAATATTCTGAAATTAAAAGATAGTATATTCAAGTGGAAGAAGTGTTAATATGGAAAGAAAAATGAAATCAGTAAATATCCTAACAAAGGCTTTTTTTTTTTTAAGTGGGAAGTTTTTCTTGCAGAAAAAGTATACAGTATCATAATTGTGTTGTGGAGAGGGTAATGCAGAATGACAATTAAGATGAAAAACTAAGGTCCACTGAGATGATGCTTTTGTTTACTGCAACTGTGAAGAAAGACAGGTGAAAAAGAGCTAGAGGCTTACAG